GAAGAAGAGAACAAGCAGTGCATGTATAATATATGTGATAGAACCCAATTCTGCCCTACCTTACACTGGTGCAACTTCTTTGGCTGAATCCTTTTAGCACTATGTCACTTTCAATATGATCTAACAACATGCATGCAAGCTTGCTTCCCCTTGTTTTTTTTTTTTCTTTAATCAGTGCACAGAGCTAAGTTTTCATTGTCGTAAACTGTTTCTAGGCAATTGTAATTTCACTTTTCCACTGTTGTTACTTCTGTGATCCTTTAGATACTGCAGATTTCTTCTGTGCACCTTCCATGAGCAAACGTTTCTCTGTTTCAAGTCTGTGTTCTGCTCCAGCGAAATTAAATTGTTTAAGTTAAAGGTCATTTGGGGAAAACAAGACTCTTGCTTGATTAGTGTACTGTTTTATGCATTTTTAAAATCTATGAATTCTAGGTACATTCCACCTATTGATCCTCATTTTAAAATATTTAGGTGTTGGGTTTTATTTTGTTTTGCTTTTTTTGCATTGTCAGTATTCCTGTTTTCCATATTTTGGCATCAGTGGTGCGAAAAGGACCAAAGAGGAAAATCCGCTCCCAGAACAAATAAGCAGAAAAACAGACTTGGCTTGAAACCTTTCCTTATTGCATCTTTTATACTTCCAGCACTTACATTATTTTTAAAGTTCTAACCCCCAGGGAACTTTGCCTCTAACCTCTGGAATTTTAAAAATAAAAACCAACCTTTAAAACCTGTCAACTCCTCTTCTTTCCCCAAAACTCCAGGCTTCTGCTCCTCTTGTTACACGTTTATTTCATATTACTTTAGTGTTATAGGCAATGTTGTATTTACTGCTCGTATGCTCACCATAACAGAAGTAGTGTTAAACCCTCTGTTCACTGATTAATGAAAAGTACCAACAGCATACTTGTTGTTTTCCATTTGTCTACTGCGCTTCCAGTTCTGAAGAGCTACCCATGCAAGAACAAAGAGTTGCAGCTCCTAAGAAAACTGTTTCATAGCCCTACACAGAGGAACAAAGAAATACATACAAAGAAAGCTGTGCCGTACGCCACTCCAGCAGGCCTGGCTGAGGTGTGCTGAATCCCAGCAGGCTGAGAAGCGCTTGTGGAGCCCCCAGCAGACAGCAGCACTGGGGCCCCGAGACCAAAGCAGCCCATCAAAGATAGGGATTTCATACTGAAAGGAAAGTAATACATATATCACTTAAGGCATCTAGCTTGAAATATTAAAAAGGAGGACAGAACTATGGAAAGAGGAGTTCTTTTAGAAGATTGCCTGTGGACTGTATTTTAATGTTCTGAAGCTGCTCCCTGCAGCTATTTTATACAATACCCAGTTTTCTCGAGTTTCAGAAGTACTAATGATTCAATGGATGCAGAATCACAGAAAGCTCCTGAACTCAGCTTATGCTTCCCTCTACTGCCTTGAAGTCCTATTTCCAGCCAGTGTTTTAGAACTAGACAGCTTAGCAAGAGGGTAAAAATCCCTTAGCAATATTAACTGTTAACTTCTTTGAAAGGAGTTCATTTTAAGCCAGAGAAATTGGCTGTGTGTGATGGAAATATTGTTTTTTTTTCTAAGAACTGCTAGATTATTAACCTAAAAGCTTGCTTTATTGCAACGATCATAGTAATGAAATGCAGTACCTCCTTTGGTGTTTAGTATCAGGTTTTTTTTCTCTATTCTCCAATATTTCTACAGATATTTCATGTGGGTTTTGATGTTTAAAACAGCACTCATTTGAAATGTCATGAATACACAACAGAAATTTGGTATGTAGCAAGCCCCACTCCCCAGTTTAATGGGGGATAATGCTTTTTTAATCCTTTTCAAACACATGGCCAACAGTTTTTTCTATAATATCAAAATATGATATAAAAATACCATTTCATGCAAATTTCAACTACCTGTGGCTTCAGGAATAGATGCTACGTACTCTATAGCTGTGGAAATCATTGTGGTAAAAAGATGGCTTGTTTTTAAGACTGGAATGTATAAATATGTAATATATAACTGCCAGGATTTCCACTATGAGACTGAAACTAAGAAAATTGTAGATGTTGCAAAAATATAACTGAAATCAAGAAAAGAATGCTGCACCTTCAAAGTCTCATTTGAATACTTTTTTTTTTTCTACAAGGTTCTCATGAGTGAATTAGAAACCACTGAAATGCTTTTGAAGCAAAGCCATGATCTGTTGAAATTTCACCATAATCAGAATGTTCAGCTTCTTTGCCCAAGGTTTTGATGACATGAAAGTCATGAAACAACTGAAGTATTTTAAAAGCAAAACAGTCTGAGGTATCTGAGTTTTACCAGGAGGAGAACTCTCTTTTCTGACCAACTCTAAGTGGAAACATGCTTCTTATTGCTCCCTTCCTCTGTTTTAATGCGAGTCATGGTTTTGCTGACCTTAGTATTTCAGTAGCTCTTACTTACCTGTCCTCTTTGTCTGGATGCCTGCTCCAGGACTCTCTCAGCCACTCTCAGAGCCCTTCCCTCTGGTCTTCCTTTTTTCCCTTTCTTCTAATGAGTAAATCTCTTTCACTGATCTGATGTCCACTGTTTTATTGCACAGTTGTTACTGTTACACTATTACTGATAGATCTTGCCTCCATCACAATAATTGCCTTGTCTCTCTTTACCTTCCTATGGCATTCCTGAAAGCAGTAGCTAGACGAGAGCAGCAGAGCTGTCAGATGCAGTTTGCTGATAGGCAACACCATAAATAAGTGCTTTAAAATTTTATCAGCACCAGCCTTATGCCTTAACACTTTAGTGCAATTCTTTCTCACACTCAATTTTTTTTAATGACTGTTATTTCTAATGGCTAATGTAGGTTTATGTAAGTTCAGTCTTAAGTTCCTGAAGGTCTATATTGTATGCCTTATGTGCTGGTGATTAAGATTCTTCCCTGTGGTATGTAGTAGCTGGGAGGAATAGCTTAACACTGTGTTGTATTTATTTTTATTTTATTTTTTTAGAGGAGATTTATCCTAATGCTTTGTTCTCCCTGGTACTCCTGCTGTTGCCACTTCTACTGCCTGAGGAAATATTTCTGTCTCAAATCCCCCCACTTCCAAAGTCAATGTACAGACCATGAATACAGTCCAAAGGTCATGCTTTGGAGAAAACAAGAAAGAGTGGAGAGAAAAGGAAAAGTTGTTCTTAAAAGGTGGTGACTTGATGAAATTTTCTGAGTTTTTACACACAGGGGCTCTTGTTGGAGATTAACATGGCCTCCTTGGTCTTACAACTCTGGCTCTGCAAAAGCCAAGAGAAAAACAAGATAAAACAAGGTGACACTGACAGATGATAGATTTTCTTTTTATATATATGTTGGCAGTGCTACAACAGCAGTTTACTTGATCTTACTAATTTTTGTAAGTTAGTATGAGTTCCAAAAGCATTTTGTTAAGGTAGTTCTTAATTTTCCATTTCTTTCATCATACTTTAAACAGTTTTTAAAGTTACATAGAACCTGCTCCTGAAATTTAGAGTTATTAGAATGTGATCAAATTTTCCACTCTTAAATATTGATTTGACCCTTTGTTTCTCCTTGCGAATGTGAACCAAATGTCACTAGACCTACTTTGCTTAATTACAGTGGGTATCTGGTTGGGCTCTTTTGCATGAATTAAATATTTGGACAAGTGAGCACAAGACTGTATTCTCTCATAGCCTAGGGGAATGCTGTGGCTTGGCTGGAGGAGCCTCCCAATCCTCAGGTGACTTTCCTCATGCTTCCACATACACACTCTTCCTACATAAGGTTTAATTATTCCATACCATTTTGGGCAGTTTTACCACAGAGAGATGAAGCAAACCTGGACCACAAAACCTAGTAACTGAGTGCCTAAGAATTCTCACTTAAAGTGGGAGATGTGTGCTTAAATTGCTTTACACAAAAGGAAGAATTCTTCAGTGAGTGCTGTGGTAACAATGTTGTCTGGAAAAAATGGGAATGGAGAAGACGACTATGCTTTGTAGGAACTTGTTTGTTTCTTTAAGTTCCCAAATCTTCCCCAGAATCGAAAGCTAAGGCTTTCAATTTTCAATAGACTATTCCAATAGAAAACATATAAAACACCTTCAGAAGAAGGCTGACAAAGCTGTCAGTGTGGAGTGTTATGACATCCTCTGTTCTTCCATAATTACAGTCTTCAATCCACTGACCATTTCATCTTTATTTAAACATGTCCCCTTCTTTGTATCTTAAAAAAAAAAAAATAATAACAATAGTAAATTTATATAGCTTGAATTAAGAAGTGTCAGGACTGATTAGTGACTATCTGGACTAAATATGCACATTGCAAAGTTTTCTTCATGGTTTTATATAAGAAGATGTTTTAAAAACTTTATCAATGTCAATGTGTCAGCCTGCATTTCTCTGTGAAATCTTGAAACTGCTCTTTCATCTATGTTGTAAACACATCAACAAGTATGTAGAATGTCTTGACTTTGAAATGCTGTCACCTACTTTCTGTATCGTTGTCAGTAGTCAGCTTGTTATAAAAGTGTTTCATTTCTAGCTCTGTTTCTTTTGGTAGTGTGTCGGCATACTGCATTTTTCAACAGTGTTCTTTGCTGCCTCTTCCATTTTTATCAATAAATGTAGTTTGACAGAAGTTCTCCTCCTTTGCAACATGTTGCTATCTCTGACTCTCCACTGTCACCAAAGCTGTTGTGTTACTTTGAGGCTAAGCTGAGTGCATGTAAACCATCTTCAACATTTTGTGCCAAAGTACACAGGGAATTTGAACTCAAAGGTTTCTGTGATGGTGAGAAATCCCTAAGCTTCAGTCACTGCCTTTACTTTTCAGTTGGAACTTTCCCAGAACATGTTCAGTTTGATGCAATACCTGTTTCTGACGTCTTGCAATATGGAGTCTGCACTTTGCTTGGAATAAACACATCTGGTGATGGACAGTTTCTTAAATGTGAGTGTATTCAGGCTTTTAATTCTGCTGCTTCTCATATAACCTTATTTTTTTCAGAAGATAATATGTCAAAACGGGTGAAATTGCCTCAAGTCCCATAGCTTAAAGCTGAATTACCTGAACAGCTCACTGCATATGAATGTAAGACACTATTTTCAAATTTTGAACTACACTTATTTCAAGAAGATTTTCTAACCAAATATACATCACTGAAATTTAAATAGATACACATTTGGTTAAACTGGGAAAAATATCCTGTTCAAATGATTTCAAGACTCGTGCAATAGATATGTAGAAGAAAGTCAGTGCGACCAATAGCTATGATATAATAGATGCTTTAATATTAGATACTTACACCATTCTTGTGTGCACTAGAATGTCAACCTCTTTTTGCATTTACAGCAGTATGGCTTCCTTGCACCTTTCAAAGGCCCACATTGTGACAGTTCATGCATGAACTCTTTCTCACTCTATCAGTATAGATTACATTCTTGATAACTAACATATCATAAAGAACTATCTTCTAGTTGCAGTTTGTTTCAAAACCAGGCTGACATGGAACAGAGATCAAACAAAATCTGTATACACGGACCTAGTTTGAAAAAGCTAAGGATCTGTAGTGCGTTCTGATGACATACTCTGCAGAAACTTAATTGGCACATTGTTGCTGTCTAACTTAAAATGCACTGCACAGCTACAGCACAGAAGATTATTAGAAATAACTGAGTAAGCAGACTGTCACCTCAGGAAAGATGGTAAGAACTATCAGAATTATCTTGAATACATATGTGTCTTTGACCTGACTACGTCAAGCTGTTAATCATACAGGCTGAATGCATTTCACCTTACACATGCATCATGTTGATTCTTTAAACACAGTCTGTGTGTTTCAAGAACTTAATCAAATCGAGCTTACTAAGGGAATGGGATCAAGGAAGGAAAGGAGAGAGTAGAAACAGCTTCTCTAGGAATCTTTGTATTTGTGTTTATTTTCAGAAGGCAATGGAGTGTGGATGAATATCTTGAAGAGGTCAGTACCTACTTGCTGTCTTTTTGGTGTGTTTTTTTTTTTTTTTTTTCCCTAGAGAAAATGGAATGGACACAGAATGACAAACATAATTTTTTTTCAAGAGAAGGAATCAGACATACAGATGACTAAGTGGCCAGAATGTCACACCAAGGATGGAGGTCTCCTTACCTCTGGTCTATTCCAGATGCCATTATATGTCAAATAAAAAAAAAAAAAAATCTCATTAAACAGAAACTCATGTGATAAATAAAAATGCCATGTGAAAAACAACATATGTATTCATTTTTTATTAGACTCATATTTTCAAAACTGTTCCTTTAACACTGACAAATGTCTCAGTGATGTTAAAATGTTTGTATGAGCAACTTTTCCAAGGTAAGATCTTATTTCCCTTATTTTCCTGCATATCCTGACTGACTTTGTGGGCGACTTCTTTCCATAGTTCTTGGGCTGGGTTTTTTTTGCCAGTTTAATTAGCAGCTGCAAGTTAGCAAGCTTTTGGTTATAATCTGAACTCACAGTTAACTGTTCTGCAGGTGGTGTTTGGGAATAGGTGTAGAACTAAAGACTTGGAAGACTGGATGTAATTTTCAAAATTCTCCTTTACCTGGTGATTTGGATTGATCTTTGAAGATTGCTCTGTTTGTTTTCATAATTGAAGCTGAAAATCCATAAACAGTTCACACTACTTCAAAACATGAGCAAAATAGGCTATTTCGCAGGGAACCAATTTGATAAAATTATGAATAGGTTCACACTGCAAAAATCAAATATGACTTAAGTTTTGTGCAGGAACGGGGATCTTACTGTAGAACTTAAGAGTATTCATGATGTTATTTTTGTTAAAAGTGCTTCTGTTTTTTACAAATGATAAAATTATTCCAGAAGGAGAATCTGTACATTTTATAATACATTAGAGAAAAAGAAGAAACATACGGATGTATTACTTTTCAGGATCTTCTGAATCATTCTTCCCAATGGAATACCATAGTCTCCAGTGCAAAACAAGAAATGCTGACAGGATTTTGTGACAGTGAACAAACCATCAGAGAATTCAGCATCCAGATGTTACATAGATCAATATATCATTGATCCACAACAATTTAGAGCAAAAAGCTAATAAATTGAGGGGTTTTTATACTTTTTGCTTCTATTAAGCTCTGACTGCAACAAATTTTTGTAGTCTCCGTCCTCATATTTAAAAAAAAAATAAAAAGATAGCAGATTGTTGGAAATGACAAGATGAAAATAGCAGTTGTTTTCCAAAACAGTTGCAGATACAACTTTCAGCTTTATTTGCTATTTATTAAAAATCTGAATCCACCTGGACTTTATCAATGGGAGATTCCACATATGTTAAGGGAAGCAGCAATGACTTGCCTCCTAGCGAGTGCACACTGATGAAACATGCTCCCACAGCACTGATCTCATTTTATTTCCTCTGTCTGTACCTCGTGTTATCAACTGAGCCAACAGATTAAACATACAAAAACTACAGAGTATCAGCTCTGTGAACCATAAGATCTATTCTCAGTATTATCTCTTCTGTGTGCAAAATTGCTACTCTCTAAACACTGAGTGATATGACATTTGTACATGATGAGATTTGTTCAGGGTGGAGTTCTAAATATGGAATGTGGTTCTTTTGTTAATTAGAAGTAAGATACAAATACTATACATAATAAAAACGGTCCTTGGTGGCTAGTCTGCTTGACAGCTTTTGTAGGAGAAGTTCATGTCTGAAAAAATGTATGGATGAGAAAGTAAAAACAGGGAACGAAGGTAAAGAAGTACAGGAATAAAAAATATTTCACCCAACTCATTGTGAAAAACCATATGCTAAATATATTTAGCCGCATAAAAATCAAAGTTCAAGACCTACACTTCCTGGGAAAGCATATGTTAGGGGCAAGGCACTAACAGCCTGCTCAGTGGGACCCAGGGGAGCAGCGCCGTGTATCAGTCTGGGAGATCCCCTCTGGCTGACATGCAGGGCAGCACTGCCAGCTTCCAGGGGAAGCTGCGTTTAGCTCTCTTAAGACCCAATCTTGCAAACGCTTATGCACATGAGTAACTTTAGTTTCCATGAGTCAAGTTACTTACATGTTTAAGTTTCTGCAGGGGTGCGACAACAGGGCCAAGTAAGTGCTAGTCAGCAGGACAAAACAGAAGAAATTCACCCCTGCTTTTCCTCAACTAGGCAACCTAGTTTGTGCTATATTTTTATTGCCTGGTTTTGACTGAAAAGAATGTTACAACTGCAGATATTTTTTAAATTCTTAAGTTTTACTATGATTTCTTTAATAAACGAGTCATTGCCACAATCTCAAGCACATGGTACAAAATCATAAGGTTTGTATGTGATTTGAAGACCTTCTGATATTTCACAGTGATTTGCTATGAGGGGAGGCACTTTTTAGAGACCAGTGTTTATGCTGTCACGTCCTTGAAATTGTGGATAAAGCTGGACAAAGGAAACTAAGATAGGATACTGGCAACTGTCATTCTTAGGTCTCGTTGTTTTTCTGCTTTTAATTTGTTCTTAATTGATCTGTTCACTTTGTAAGTTCTGGAGAAAACTGATGCTTCTAACAAATTTGTGTTTAGTGTGAGGATTACTCTGTTATCATATGGATCACTGACCAATGTCTGGTGGTCACGATTTTTTTTAGTTGCATTCTCCAGAATATGGAGGTTTATGGCTTAGTATGTATCTCTATGAGCTGGAAAGACTCAAAGCATATGGCAGATCAGATGTTAGGCTTGAGGGAAATCAAAAATTAAACTGTCTCAGAGCTGTTGAGAGACTGCTTTGCTATATATTTTATGTGATTTGTGTATGTGTGTTGAGGGAGATGTCACCTAGGGAAGGGAATCGAAGAAAAAATAGCTTTAAAAATGAACTGTTTGTATTATCGCTTTAAACTTTTAAAGTCTGGTCAGATAAAAGCAGATGTTGTGAACTAAGATGGAAACTTGCCTGAGGCCAGAATTGAAGCAGGCATTCTTTAATAGTAAGAAGTAAAAATGTTTTCTGGTTTCAGAATTTATTGCAAGAATACAATGAGTAGTCCTCAAAAACGTTCCCATTGTTATATAAACTAGTGAATAATTCTGGTGGTTTCAGAATTTAATTTCAGACAATGTGTTCATCAGCAATCTTGTTTGCATTCTAAGCTGTTTATCATAAAATCTTTTGTTTCTCTGTGCTGGCCAAAATCCTGTCATGTTGGAAGTAGGAACGAAGTGTTTCTTGCCCTTGGCTCTTTGCCCAGTCATTAGATGAGAGGTGGATGAAAGCATCTACACGTGGTGCCAGCTTTGGAATACTGTAATATTAAAGAGTTTTGATGTGAGTCAAATAATCGGCAATCAGAAGTAATAATAAAGGGGGGGAAAAAAAAATCCTATACAAAGAATTGTAAAAATGAATATAGCCTTTCCTGCACACTTTCAATTGACCAGGCACTTCCACAGCACTAGAGAATATACATATGTAAACGATGTCTACAAATCTGAAATCGAAAGTTAAAAATTAATATTTTCAAGAAAGTGAAACAAAAAAGTTGCTTAAATAAAAATTATTTATGTTAAAATCAATCAATATTTGAGAAAATCTTATGTCTCCTTTTCATCTATTTATGTATGAGGAAATACATATTTACAGTTGCTGCCTCTATAGTATTTGTTGAATGGCACGAAGCTTTGAACCAGCTCAAAATTGAGTCTTTCTGAGACAGTTCTGCAATTTATTTTAAATTGACTTGTTTGGAAGCTGTGCTCTAACGGCAAGTCCTGAACTGCAAGCTCCAGCATTTCTGGGGGAGAATAATAGCAACCCACTTCTGCATTTCACAAATCCTTCACATGGTGCTGGTTCAGTGCATGTAATTTGTCTGAGGCACCTTTGCTGCTCTAATGCAGCAGCAAGAATGTATCTACACAATTTTTCGGAAATCCACTAGAAAATATTTTAAGGAGCAGTATTTCCAGTGTATTCATTTCTCCCTCCTGTAGGAACCCTTTCAATAATGCAGTCACACGATATCAGCCTCCTATGCTGATTTGTGTCAGGGTAAAAACTAGGAAGGGCTTTCCGACAACAGAATAATTTCAGGTAAGTCCGTGTTTGGCCAAGCCCTAAATCTGGCATCCGCAGCGCGGAGCGCGTGCATGGAGCTCTGACCGCAGCGGGCTGAGGGGAAGCGAGCGCGCTCCATCACCGCTTCTCCCTCACCGCCGCCGCCATTTTGTGCGGGGGTGACGGGAGGAGCGCTGACAGCTTCGCCCTCCTCGGTCGAGGGAGGAGAGCAGAGGGAGGCCTCGGCCTTGTGGGAGCGGGGAGTGAGCCTGGCAGGTGCGGATGACCCCTGCCTCCAGCCCAAGGGCACCTCGCACGGCTGGGAGCGACCACGAACGTTTGTTTAGGTCGGCGTCCCTGCAGGTGGGGACCTTCCATTGGCGCCCCCTGGAGAATTCGCTGAGGTGAAGGCGGCCGGCTGAGGCAGGCACTGAGGCTTAGGGGGAAATAAAGAGCAGCGCAGCTTCAAAACAGAAGAAAATCCCATGTGTCTGTAGAAAGCTATTTCTTTAAGCAGATACACAAAAAGGTCTTTGCTTACAGGAGTTGGCACGTGTCCCTTTGTAAGTGAATCAATACTTGGTGGTGCTCCTGCAGACACCTGCACATCTTTGTTTTGCCATCTTGAGTGTTTTTTCCCTGTGCTAACTGACAGCATTAAGTGTTGAGGCCTCCTTGGTTTTGTTTGGTTTTGGTTTTTTGGTTTATTGCACATAAGAATCTGAGAAACTTTTCACAATTTCTTGGCTCAGGATTCTTGTGGAGATATCCTGACGGTCAGGCAGTGAGCAGATGTGTGAATACAGCAACACATAAAGGAGCGGTGAGCCAGGGTTTTCCCCTCAATGTGTATCATTTTGAGTCACTGAGCAATTGGAGTTAACAGAGCCAGTCAAAGAATGAAGGCTGTGTAGAGAGGGAGCCTGGAGCGCCTTGGAGTTTAACTAATGTGAATAACAAAGACTACTCAAAGGTGGGAAGCATACAGAAAAAGTGTTCAGATGGTGTTGCACAACCTTGGCTTGCACATTCTGTACTTTATGCATGAAAACCATTTAATACTGCTCAGCCGTGTTTGCAGCTCGGTGGAGCTGATGGAGAGGTGCTTATTTCTTCAGTGGCCCTTCACTGATTGAATGCAGCTTGGTGGCACTATTGGATGCTTTATGCTGCCCTTATACCCAAAGAGACAACTCCTGCTTTTGATTACTGGCATTGCATATGCCACAGAATGGTGGCAAAATTAGCCTGTCTTGTTACATTACTATGATTTCTAATGCCGCTGCTGCTGGAAGAAATGGCAAAACCCAGTGTTGGGGAATGACAGAGGTTTACAGAAATGTTGCAGGTTTGCACTGAAAAGGAATGCGGTGGGGGCATTGACAGGTTTCTTGTTTGAAATTCTGGAATCTAAATCACTGTAGTCACAGTTATGATTATACACTCAATATTCTGCTCATATTGTGAAATGTTTTCTGTTTTAAATTTGAAAGATTTTTATGGAGTATTTGAAGTTTTGCAGCTTCTGTGGAAGGAAAATATATCTTTTTAATTTACATTCACAAGTGACAGTACACAGTAATTAAGTGAACCTGAATTCTATTTGCAAAGCATTGTAAGATTTTTTTATTTTTTTTTATGTTACTATAATGAGATGCTGGAGCAAAAAAGAACCAACAAAGATCATCATCTTTAGTTTGTCTTTATAGGCAAAGAAGGTATGTTTGCTTTGTTATTTTATTATCAGAGTTGTCTTAAATTGGCATTTCTAAATTGTTAAAGTTGATTTGCTATTTTACTAAGTATAAGTGAACCTAAAGTTTTGACTCATAAGATCATTTCTGTGCTATTCTTCTAGTGAGATCTTTGCTTTTTCAGTCCATCCTTAAGCAAAATAAAGAGCAATGGAACTTTTCAACGCAACATGTAAACATAGCATAGTGCCTAGAGGTGGTACTAACAGTATGATACTTTTATTAATGTATGTTTTAAAAACAATTTGTGAATTGTGATTCTGCTGTTTTCTAACAAATCTCATTAAGGAATTGGGCCCACAGTCCAGTTAACCAGGTGAGTATCTTGCTTATAAGTGAAAAAGAAGTCTG